TTTTCACTAGTGACAGGTAGTGGGGGAGAGAAGATCCCCTGCCAGCTGTCACTAGATGTAGCAGACAGGGCAGCAGCTCTGGGAGTGGGAACATGTTACTTGCTCCATCCTAAAAATGGGTAACATGTAACATGTTCCCAAAGGTGAAATTATCCTTTAAATATGGTGGCTGCAGAAGCTTTTTAATTTTTTTTTTTTTTTTACTTGGTGATCCTATCGGTAACATATTTCCTGTCTTGGGGTGTCTCCACTCCATTGTAGGAGAAAAAGAGACACCTTTGGACAGCAGCATTGTCAGTCTGGGGAGAAGGTAGTGTAAAGGTGGGAATACACGATTAGAAAATCGACCGATCGGTCATCGACAACCGAGAGGCGTTCATTGGTCAAAATCGTGGCCCACGTTAACCAATCTAAAAAAAATCATTTGTCATGCAATACGTAGTGTTGACATCTTCCGTACAAGTGGAAGTGATGCGGTGTGCGTGTGACCTTGTAGCCACGCCCTTCCGGCCAGAACGAGCGATAACACACAACAATTCCCAGCAATGAGTATAATATTGTTTATTACATGACCTATATACATAAATAGTGATACATAAAATATAATCTGCAGAATTCGGGTTTCATCATCTCATTAGGACAATCTACTTTTAACATTTGGATTTTTCATTCGTGTTTACGAAAATTCCTTGGACATAAACATCCGGGTCATCTGTTTCCGCTCATGCGTGATAGCGCTTGATAGATTTTTTTTCATACAACCGTCATACCACCGCATAGAAAATCGTTTGTTCACATGCAAAACAACAACATTTTTCACTGTTGTTCAACCTGATTTTTTTTCGTTCACAATATCATTATCGGTTAAAACATTCTGCTCAACAACGAAGAGAAAATCGTTCGATCAGTGGTTCTGTGAAATTTATCGTATGATTTTCTTATCGTGTGTACGGGGCATAAGTCTGGAGTCCCTGGAACAATCACAGTCCAAATTGTTAAAACCTGTGTAAAGGACTACAATGGACTCAACACCAGTAACAATCAATTAAAATGTAATACAGAAAATTAACAGAGCTGTGCCCCTTGAAAAGTTTATTTATTGTGTAACACAATGTACACACCGGGATATTTAATTGTTTTTACACTATTAAATAATTTGTGTTCATACAATGTACCACCCAGGGGCGGACTGACCATTTGGAAAACACTGCCTGAGGGTCGGGGTCAGTAGGGGGCCCCATGAGATGCCCCTGGTACCTTTTTTCATAGACTTTTTGAGTTTGGGCAAGGACACAGGGGCCCCATGATCCCCTATTGCCCGGGGACCCCAGGAGTTGTCAGTCTGCCCCTGGTACCACCCGAGCATTTGGATCTTTAGATCTTTGTTAGGACAGAAAGTCTTCAAATCTAGTTTGAAACTGAAAACTTACAAAACTCCCTCCAGGTCCCAAAATGACTTGGTTTTAAAAAATGGGCCATCATATAAATCTAGCGTGGTTGGGCCCAGGGGCGGACTGACCATTTGGAAACTCGGGCACTACCCGAGAGCCCGGGGTCAGTAGGGGGCCCCATGAGATTCCCCTGGTACCTTTTTCATAGGCTTTTTTGAGTTTGGGCAAGGACACGGGGCCCCATGATCCCCTATTGCCCGGGGGCCCCATGAGTTGTCAGTCCACCCCTGGTTGGGAGTCTCTGGCAAATAATTATGAAAACTCAAAATATAAAAGAAAATTAATTACAGGCTCAAAACCAAACCATCATTGAACTGTGTGTCTATCAAATCTGTCCCAAAAATCTAGACCAATGCATCATAAAAAAGACAACTTTACTATACTTAGATACACAATTTACAAGTTTAAGGATGAATGAGAATGTGAAACAATTGTACAATATTGCTGGTGCTATGGGGTTCATGATTGATTTTATGTTTTTTATGTGTTATATGTATAATAAAGTTGTCTTTTATGATGTATTGGTCTAGATTTTTGGGACAGTTTTTTTTATAGAGACCCAGTTCAGTGATGGTTTGGTTTTGGGGCTGTAACTAATTTCTTTTATATTTTGAAAACTGTCCCAAAAAAATATAGACCAATACATTATAAAAGACAACTTTATTATACATATAACACATAGAAAAACAATAAACTCAATCATGAACCCCATAGCGCCAACAATATTGTACAATTGTTTCACATTCTCATTCATTCTTAACCTCTTTAGTGTCTCCCACTGCTACAGGGTGGCAGCGGTGCGCAAAGTCACACACACACACACATATATATATATATATATATATATATATATATATATATATATATATATATATATATATATGATTTTGCACTTTCCGATAGAGGGTGTGCACGTGCCCTACTTGTGCCGCCATTCACAGCCGAGACTGTCAATCACCGGGTCCCGGCTGGTGATTACTTGCCGGCGCCCAGTGATTGCCAAGGATCTCTGTCAGGGGGGAGAGCTGTTAGTAAACAAAACAGTTCTCTCCCCTGTCATCTCCTGCACACTGCTTTGTATGGCTTTGCACAGCCATGCAAAGCAGTGTGCTTACATTGAAACACATACACCCAGCACACAGTTAACCCTTTGATCACCCCTCATGTTAACCCCGTCCTGCCCAGTTCCATTAGTACAGACAGCACCCGGTGATTACTGAGCATCTCTGATGGGGAGGAAGATTGATTTGTTTATAAACAAACAATCTTCCTCCATGTCAGCTCAAACACACTGCTCGGGATGGCTGTGCACAATACAGTCATCCCGATCAGTGTGCTTACAGTACACCCCCCTCTCCCCCTAGTAAAACACTCCCAGAACACAGTTAACCCTTTGATTGCCCCTCACATTAACCCCTTCCTGCCCAGTGCCATTAGTACAGTGTCAGTGCTTTTTATTAGCACTGATCACTGTATTGGTGTCACTGGGGATGTCAGCAACATCAAGTCAGTTCCCCCCCAGTGTCAGAATGTCCGCCGCAGTCCCGCTATAAGTCGTTGATCTAGACTACATTACTAGTAGAAAAAAAAGCCCAGTATATATACCGCCATTTGTAAATGCTATAACTTTCACGTAAACCAATTAATTTACACCTATTGGGATTTTTGTTTAGCAAAGACACGGAGCATAATACATTTTGGCCTAAATTTATGATTACATTTTATTTTTTTTACTGGATATGTTTAATAGCAAAGTCAAAAATATTGTTTTTTTTTCTCAATTTTCAGTTGTTTTTTTTTTATAGAGCAAAAAATTATAGAGCAAAAAGCGCACAGGCAATCAAATACCACCGAAGAAAAGTTCTATTAGTGGGGAAAAAAAAAAGGACGTAAATTTCATTTTGGTGCAGCGTTGCCTGACCGCGCAATTGTCAGTTTAAAGTAACGCAGCGCCGTATCACAAAAAATGGCCTGGTCAGGTCGGGGGGAAAATCCTCTGGAGGGCACGTTTATACATGTAAATTGTGTATCTAAGGCTGGACATACACTATACAATTTTCTGTCCAATTTTGCTCAATTTCCTTTAGAATCACCTTCAACTATGTAGTGCAAGAGCCTGTCTAATTGGATACAATTGAACGTATTGTTAGATTTGACCTCCTATTATGTTTTTTTTTTGGTAAATCTAAACCACAAATCGAGAAAATTGTACAGTGTATGACCAGCCTATGTGTTCTAAGTATAATAAAGTTGTCTTTTATGATGCATTGCTCTAGATTTTTTCGGGACAGTTTTTATAGAGACCAAGTTCTGTGATGGCTTGGCTTTGAGCCTGTAACTAGATTCTTTTATTTTTCCAATCTAGTTTACAAACGAGTTCTGCCATCACAGATGGGGCAATCATGGAAATCCTATTTCCTCCTCAGTCCCTTCAAATCACATTAAAGGGGGGGAGATAGCTAAGATTTCTAACGTTAGCAGAACTTGTCTCATATTTTATGTTTTGCTATGTGAATGGGAGAATGCAACAACCAGAGAGTAGGTGTTGTCTCAATTTGGGTTTAAAAGTAGAAATTCACTTTAAAGCGGAGCTCCACCCAGAAGGGGTGGAGCCTTTGGAGATTTTACACACCCCTGCCGCACCTGCAGCAGTATTTATGCTATAGGGCGGCACGGAAGTGGTTAATGACCACCTTAGTCAGCCACAGAACCTGTGTCATTAAAGCGGAGTTCCACCCAAAAGGGAAAGTTCTGCTTTAAAGATTGGTCCCCCGCTCCCCATTAAGGATTGGCACCTTTGGGGAACGGGCACCCAAATTTGACAGGTACCCGCTCCCACTTCCGCTGCATTCGCCTAGGCGATCGGAAATGGAAGTTGTCCTCCTACCCTCCCTCCCTGTAGTCTTTTAGGACATGTGACAGTTATCAGAAGACTAAGGGGCCATTCACAAAGCGCAGCGCTTCTCGCACATGCTCAGTGGGCACCCGGCTGTGAAGCCGCAAGCTGTCACAGCTGGGTGCCCACACTAAAGATGTCGGGAAGAGAAGACGGCCGGTAAAACCAGCCATGGTGAGGACACGGCTGGACCGAGGGACAGGTAAGTGTCTGTATTTTAAAAGTCAGCCGCTACAGTTTTTGTAGCGGCTGACTTTTTTTTTTTTTTTTTTTCCAGGTGGAACTCCGCTTTAAGATTTCATATAAACATTTTTTACAAACTGGTAATTACAAAAATAGTATTCAAGACCTATTCTGAAAATATTTTCCAGGTTAACAGATCGTCATCAACACATGATGAGTCTAGAAGGAGCCAAGCCGTATCCGTGTCCTGTGTGCCAGGAAAGTTTTACTTGTAAGTCAAAACTCAATGTTCACCGCAGGAGTCACACTGGAAAGAAACCGTTTCCTTGCTCAGAATGTGAAAAAAGTGCTTTTATCTAAGCAATCGCTAATCAATCACCAGAGGATTCACACGGGATTGAAGCCATTTCATTGTTCGGAATGTGAAAAATGCTTCATTAAAAAGTCTAGTCTCGTTACACACCTGAAGACCCACACGGGAGAGAAGCCATTTAAATGTTCCGAATGTGGCAAGGGTTATTCACAGTGGACAAATCTTGCTCAACACAAAAGAGACTCACACAGGAGAGAAGCCGTTTTCTTGCTCTGAATGTGAAAAAGTATTTTCATGGAAGAAATCCCTAATTAATCACCAGAGGACTCACACGGGAGAGAAGCCATTCCGTTGCTCAGAATGTGACAAATGCTTCTCTCACAAGATTAATCTTCTTGCACATCTGAAGACTCACACGGGAGAGAAGCCATTTAAATGTTCGGAATGCGGCAAGCGCTTTTTACAGAGGGCACATCTAGCTCAACATGAAATGATTCACACGGCAGAGAAGCCGTTTTCTTGCTCAGAATGTGAACAAGTCTTTTCATGGAAATCATCACTAATCAGCCACCAAAGGATTCACACCGGAGAGAAACCATTTAAATGTTTAGAATGTGGCAAGTGGTTTTCGCACACGAAAGGTCTTGCTCAACACGAAAAGATCCACACAGGAGAGAAGCCGTTTAAATGTTCCGAATGTGGCAAGTGCTTCACACAAAAGGCACATCTTAATCAACATGAAAAGTCGCACACAGGAGAGAAACCATTTAAATGTTCCGAATGTGACAAGTGCTTCGCACAGAAGGCATCACTAATCAGTCACCAGAGGATTCATACCGATTAGATGCCTTACAGATGTTCAGAATGTGGCTGATGTTTCTTTAATCACTTCAAGTCCGGACACTTCAAATCATACACAATCATCAAAGACCTCATTCTAGGACTTCATAGTTTCAATTTGTTCTGTGGAATGCAGTTGTTTTGTTGAACATTTTAATGAAACAAATAAAATGTGAATTCTTTGTTTTGAATATTCCAAGTGGTTATTGAAAGTTCAACTTGTGGTTAATCAACTGGGATTTGTAACCACTTCAAATCCGGACACTTTCCCCCTTCTAGTCCAGGCCAATTTTCAGCTTTTGGTGCTATCACACTTTGAATGATAATTATGCGGTCCCATGTACCCATATGAATTTTTTAGCATTTTTTTTTTTTAGACAGATAAAACGTTATTTTGGTGGTATTTATCCACCACTGGGATTTTATTTTTTTGCTATATAAATGAAAAAGTTCAAGCATTTTGAAAAAAAAAAGTTTTTCTTCTAAAATTTTGCAAATAAATAATCTTTCTTCAAAAATCTTGACCAAAATGTATTCATCTATCTTTTTAGTACAAAAAATAACTAAAGTTAGTTTAAAACCAAAAATTATAATTTTTCAAACATTTAACATGTTTATATTATTTGTTTTTTTTTTAACATACTGTCACCATAGTGACACTGTACTACTTGGGGGTGGGTGATGAAGATTTTATTTTCTTTTTTTTACACGGATTGCTTTTACACCCATAAAGGCTGTAAAAGCAATCACTTCTCCTTCTCTCTGGCTGCGTTCCTGCAGCTATTGAGAAATACTGTGTGAGCTGTGATTGGTCACAGCTTGTCACATGGTACAAGGCTGTTGTGAATAGCCCTGTACCGTGTGACCTCTGATCATTCACAGATTTCACACGTAGTAAGCAATGATGTCAGGAAGTGACATCTTGCTTACTACTCTTCATGTGATCACTGATTAGCCAATCAGTGATCATATGATCGGGACCTCACACAGAGCAATCTCAGTGCCGCGCAATCCAAGGGAGCATGCACAGGCAATGGATGTGGGGGGACGTTTAGAAATGTCCTCCCGCATCAGCAGTGCTCCCGTCCGGCTGTTTATCGACATGGGCCGGACGGGAAGAGGTTAAAGATACATGTTGGTCAATGCCAAAAAACAAAAGATGTCCTAGGGAAAATGCCATCCATTTGAAACTCTGAAAACCACTTATCAACCTGCCAAATCATGTGACCATTAATCCCTAGAATGAGAATCCAGTCTACCAAACTGAGTGAAAGAATTCAACCAGCATGATAGGAACATTAACCCCTTGGCACCGGCACCTCCCGCCCTTTAAGGGTTTCAGAAGCTGGAAGGTGGGGCTTTAGGGTCATGTGACTGCCGTTCACTGTCACACGATCGGGAAAGGTCCCGATCGCAAGAGGAGATCGGGACCTTTCCGTGAGGACTGATCATGTGTGCTGGGAGGGTGCAGGGGCGCGCGCGCTCTCAGCACATATGGTTTTTCTTAATTGCACGCAAATGTGTGGCCGCTCAGCGTCAAGGCCCAGACGCCGGGAGGCCACATGTTTGCGTGTGGCCAGCGCCAAGAGGTTAGCTAACTACGACACAGAAATCCATGACTTCTTTTTAGGAATTTTGGCCAAGAAGATCTTACATTTTGTGATGTTTTATTAGCTCATCTGAATATAACCTGTAGAAGGGCAAAAGCTGTGAAGGACATGTTGGTCTATACCCGTTATATTAAGAAACAACAATTACCCCCGGTTCACATATCTGCAGCTGTGCGGGCAATTTTTGGCGCGGGCACGAGAGCCCATTCATTTGAATGGACTCCCGTGCCCTGGCACTTCTTTGGAAACCGCAGCCTGCCTGGGAACCTCAGTTCCCAGTACGGTTGCGACTTCCAGTGCAGGCGGCTCGCCAATAGAATTAAATGGCACCTGCCCGTGGGTCCTGCATTGCTCTGTGCGGGTGGTGCGGCTGCAGGTATTTTTGTGCGGGTCCTGCAGCCGCACCACCCGCACATATGTGAACCTAGCCTTAAAGTCTTCATGATTAAAGGGCTGTGTCTTCATCGTTGAAGACCTTTGATTTTTAGGAATGTTGGACAACTATGGTAGACAATCTCATGCTTTTTCATTATTGATTTTCATGATTTTTCATCAAATCTAAATAGACCGTTTAAAAGTGCAAGAACTGTGAAGGACGTTTTGATCCATACCCATTTTATTAAGGAGCAACAAACACGTCAATAAGTACAGGCTCCAGTTTCCATTAAAGGTTTACATATGTATGGAAATTGTAAGGTTTGTGTTTTCACGGTTAAAAAACAATTTCAGGACCTTAAGGTGGGGAGACAGTTTGAGATTCAAGATTTCATAAACTGTGGTACAATCTGAAGGCGTTTTCTCACATAATGTGCCTTGCAGTACAGTTGGGGTACTGTCCATTTTTTGTGTCCTTTGTAATATGTTGGCAGCCCATTTATGATCAATAGGTTGCCTTGACCAAGGACACATGAATGCACAATACCTTGACATCAATTGTTGTTAACTATGCTGGCATTGAGAGGTTAACTCCTTGGCGCCGATGAAACACAAATATGCGACCTCACAGAACTGGGCTTTTTTTCCGTGGGGCCGCATATTTGTGTACCTGTCTTTGTACTGGGCGCGCTCCCAGCACAAAGATCGGGGTGTCACTGAGAGCCCTGGGTCCCATTCTACCGATCAGGACCTTGGATTCCCGATTCTGGGTCACATGATCGCTGTAATAGCCCCCCTTTTTTTTTTTTTTTTTTCTCTCTGCATGGAAGAGAGAGATACATTGCATCTCTCTCTCTCCTTGCAGAGAGAAAAAAAACTGTTTGTAGAAAAATTAAAAAAAAAAAAAAGATAATAAAGAAAGAAATATTCAGAAATAAAGAAAAAATACCTAGATCAAGGTTTGATCTAGTTCAGTCACAGCAAATACTTTACTCCTGCGCTGGGGATGGACTCAGCAGAGGCTAGGATGACAATGTAAATGTTCTGGAATATGCACTGTTTGCTGCCCTCAATGGACCGGAGTAGTCCAAAGTCAATAAATGCAAATGAAAAAACAAAAGGGGGGGAGGGGAGGAGAGAGAGAGGGGGGAGGGGGGGGGGGAGAGAGAGAGAGGGGGGGGAGGGGGAGAGAGAGAGGGGGGAGGGGAGGGGGGGGGAGAGAGAGAGGGGGGGGGGGGGGGGGGGGGGGGGGGGGGGGGGGGAGGGGGGGGAGGGGGAGGGGGGGGGGGAGGGGGAGGGGGGGGAGGGGGGAGGGGGGAGGGGAGGGGGGGAGGGGGAGAGGGGAGGGGGAAGAGAGAGAGGGGGGGGGAGGGGGAAGAGAGAGAGGGGGGGGAGGGGGAAGAGAGAGAGAGGGGGGAGGGGGAAAGAGAGAGAGAGGGGGGAGGGGGAAGAGAGAGAGAGAGGGGGGAGGGGGAAGAGAGAGAGAGAGGGGGGGGGGAAAGAGAGAGAGAGAGGGGGAGGGGAGGGAGAGGAGAGAGAGAGGGGGGGAGAGAGCCCACACACTCATTGACATTCAGGTGAATCTTGCTGAATCAGCTGAATTACAATCAGTGTATGGCCAACTAAAATGTCCCGTGATTGTTATATATCGTCTGGGGTGCCACAAATCCCCATGTGGTTATCCAGCATTGTCACCTAATGAAAACAAACCTGGATGTTTGGGTAGGTACAGAGTATAATTGTAGTAGATGTTTGTAGTTAGGTTCTGTAGAAAAAATATTCTATTGTTAATCACTGTTTTTTTTTTTTCTCTTTTTTTTTTTTTTTAATTTGGGGGGATATCGATTTGGAGGTGTTTATGCTAGAAGAGGAAAGTAATGAAATAAGACCTGAGCTGTCAGTCTTTTAAGTGGAGTTAAAGTATATCTAAATACAAAATGTTTTTCCCCATTTTCTTGAGTAGGGTCTGGTTGAAAACAGTGTCAGGTGCTATCTGTGCCTTGTTCAAAAAGTTTATTTCCGTACCTTTAATGGCTAAGGCTGGCCATACACTGTACAATTTTCTTCCAATTTCCTCTAGATTTACCTTCAACTATATAGTGCAAGAGCCCGCCTAATTGGATACAACTGAAAGTGTTGTTAGGTTTGACCTAATATTATATGGTTTTTGGTAAATCTAAACCAAAAATCTCAAGAAAATTGTATAATGTATGGCCAGCCTTACTCCAAATTTTACAAAGCATATTAACTGCTTCCATACCGGGCACTTTTACCCCCTTCATGCCCAGGCCAATTTTTAGGTTTCGGCACTCTCACACTTTTAATGACAAGTGCGTGGTCATGCAACACTGTACCCATATGAAATTTTTATCATTTTGTTCACACAACTAGAGTTTTCTATTGGTGGTATTTAATCACCGCTGGGGTTTTTATTTTTTGCTAAAGTAACAAAAAAAGATTGAAAATTTAGAGAAAAAAAAAAACAAAAAAACACATACTTTGTACTGAAGACTTTCAGTTAGAGAACTGGAGATGGTGTCAATGGTGTCAGGAACCATAACACCTACTGGTGGCACTATGCTTTTCGAACCTGTCTACCAGCGGGTGAGTCCCAGGAGCCTTCAGGAATATGTATGCACCTGATGCTGATTGTAGTTTTAGTAAATTTATGTGAGTCACTAATAAGTTGGTAGAACAGAAATTCCCTTCTTGGGTGCACGAGAAAGGTTTAACCCAGGGGCGGACTGACCATTTGGAAACTCGGGCACTGCCCGAGGGCCCGGGGTCAGTAAGGGCCCCCATGAGATGCCCTGGTACCTTTTTCATAGGCTTTTTTGAGTTTGGGCAAGGACACAGGGGCCCCATGATCCCCTATTGCCCGGGGGCCCCATGAGTTGTCAGTCCGCCCCTGTGTGAGTCGGAGTTCCACCAAAACCGTGACTGATCCAACAGAGAAGATACAGTATGTAGTAGTGATAAAGATTAGGTGAGGAGAGGCCTCCCATGGAAACATGT